GTCGTTGTGTTGGCTGTGAGGTGCTGTTGTTGCTGTTGTTGCTGTTGTTGCTGTTGTTGTTGTTGTTGTTGTTTGTTGTTTGTTGTTTGTTGTATGTTGTATGTTGTATGTTGTATGTTGTATGTTGTAGTTGTTGTTGTTGTTTTTGTTGGTGGTGTTGGTGTTGGTGTTGGTGTTGGTGTTGGTGTTGGTGTTGGTGTTGGTGGTGGTGGTGGTGTTGTTGTTGGTGGTGGTGGTGGTGGTGGTGATGGTGGTGGTGTTGCGGTTGTTGTTGTTGCTGTCGTTGTCGGTGTTGCTGTTGTTGTTTTTGTTGTTGGTGTTGGTGTTGATGTTGTTGTTGTCGTTGTTGTTGTTCTTCTTCTTGCTATTGTTATTGATGGGGTTATTGTGTGTGTTATTGTTGCTGTTGTTGTGTTCATCGCCGTTGTTGTAGTTGCTTTGCTTGTGGACTGTCTGGTCGTTTGCCATTGCTTTGTTGCTTGCACGAGTGCTTTCTTGGATGCCTGTTTGGCCGGTCCGTCGGTAGGTTGTTCGGTGTCCTTGTCGTTGTTTTTTTGTTGATGCTGCTGCTGATGATGATGATGATGGTGTTGTTGTCGTCGCTGCTGTTGTTGTGGTCGTTGCTGATGCTGCCGCTTCAGCTGTTTCATTCGTGACTGTGGTCGCATCTATCTAGTTATCTAACTACACTTCTACTTCTACTTCTACTGCATATCTGCAAATGCTGCATCATGCTGGTTTGCTACTCATGTTGCTGCTGTTACTATGATTCATTGCGGGCTTGTGATGTTGCTTTTGGCTGTCCTGTCTTTGGTCGTATTGGTGACCGGCCGGGGCCGTTGCCGGAGACCTTGTGTCTGTGGTTGTCCTCCTCGCTGTTGGTGTTGATGTGGTCACTGGTGCTGCCTGTTGTCGTGCGTGTGATTGGCTTGATTCTCAGGTTAGTGCTTTTGGTGCAGTGGAAGGCTTTCGTCTGGAACACGAGGAGTTATGTAGTTGTGCCTGTGGTAAAGATTCGCGCCAAGATGACGATGGCGAAGGAACACGATAAACATTCGGCAACTAACGACCTCTCGAAGTACGAGTCAATGCTATGTGGAGGTTAAACTGCATGATACGTCGACGGCCAGAAGCCGTGCAGCAACAGCACCACGAACACTCAAAAACTGCAAAAGCAAAAACAGTGCCACCAAGATGGCCTGAAGTTGGAATCCGCTTCTGCTTGGATCCGATGCCTCAGCATGCAGACCGAAGTGATGAAGTGGAGCCATACAGCCTGCCAAAACCCTTACATTCATTGTCGCAGAAGTAATCGGGGTAGCAGCTACGCCCTGTGCCTATTCGCTGACATCATGTCGTGCTATGTTGCTGAGCGATCCGCAGGTGCTGCATGCGAGACTGTTTCTTTGGCTCCGAAAAAACTCCAGTGCATTCCGAAGCACGCCGCTGCAGCTTGCGTGCAGATCTCTCATGCTCCAAGAGGCGTCTAACGAACGTGGATTGGACCTAAGCTGGCAGCAAGTCAGCTTTTAGTGGTGGGGCTTTGGCGTTCTAACGGTGTGCTCGGATTTCAGCAAATCTGGTTGGACGATTGAGGATCCGCCCAACGTGTGGACAACAATGGGTCACGCCAGCATGAGCACCGGGGCGCTGTGCGATGCCATGCGCCAGCAGTACTCATGTCGTAAGCTGGAAACATTCGGTACACTGCCAAGCACTAACCCGTGAACTTCCAGATCGAGTGCCTAATGGAAGCTTGCATCAGGCCGAACAAAAGAGAACACTTGATCCATTCTACCCTACGCCGCACAAAGCTACAAAATCTGGAAGCACGAAAAGTTTCGACACCCCGAAACACTTCCTGCCTGAGAATACAGCTTACTGAGCTGTTCAAGCTACAAATAGCTATAGTAGCTGACAGGAGGTGCAGCTCAATATGACTTTGAAACCTGCGCGTGCACTCCGTCTTCTTTCCCATGCTTGCTACCTACACTTGTCTCGAACCCTCCAGCCATCGCAGTGCCAAGCGACCACAAGCTTTTCGGTTGACAGGCGCAATGGTTTGCTGCAAAAGCTTCCTAGGCAGTGGAAAAGCCTTCGGTGCCTTGGCAGCGCTTGACAGCCTGCTCACATCTATACAAGATGCTGAAACAAAGCTTTGGCGGACCCTCGCGTGGCCTAGAATGTCCTTGGGCATGTCGCAACGCGAAGACGTGGCTGCCAGTTTCAACTCAACGTGAGGGCACATGCCCATGAGTACAAATCAAGTGGTGACTTTGCCGTTGCTTGTGCCCGCAACTCGAGAAATTTTATCAGTGTGGCAATGCCGGAATACTTAAGAGTCTGACAATCGGGCTGTCTGCGAGCACATGCGAGCACTTAGGCATCGCAATCAAGTTGCAACTCGCAGTCACGGGTAAAATGCCAAGCTAAACTAGACAGAAGACACGCCCAACTGGCTTGCCAGTACTTCAGGTTCACTTGGGCTGTTGAATCTCTCACGGCATTTTGGGCACAATGCACCCTTCTTTGCAGAGGCCATCGACCAACGAGCAATGCACCTCTCATGAAAAACATGCCGGCACGGAAGGATTGCTACCTGGCTGTCTGGCTGAAAGTCGTCTAAGCAGCACGGGCAGGTCTTCTCCATCTCTGCAGTGCTGATCGCAATGTCTGTGCCGGAGACTTCTGTCGTCGAGAGCCATTTAACTGTGCCCTCTTTGTTTGTGATCTGCATGTGCCGGTATTGCAAAGGCTGCGTCGACAGCGCACTGAACTCGCAAGTGGCCCATATACAGCTACATTCTTTCGCCATCTTGGCGCTGCGATCTCCTCCCGTCCGGCCGCATGCTGTCGCAATGATCCCCAGCAGGAGAGCAAAGGACAGCAGCACCGTCACGATTAAGCTCGGCAAACTTGCTCTGCTTGGCATTGTGATGAGCAAGATAATCACGACGCCGACGAGGGAGAGGAGCGCAAGACTAACGGCCGTGATGACCGTCGCCTTTGTGTTGTACTCCGTGAAATACGACATGGCACGCATGACTCGGGACATCTTTGCAGTCGAACAGAAATAGACACCGCAACGAGATCATGAAAAGAAGTCAACAGGCCGTTTGTTCTACTTGTCCTAAAATCTCTCTGTGTCTGACGGCACTTATGCGGTCCCGCCTGAACCAAGTGCGGATTGGAAGTCAGTCTGTGCTGGAACACGGCGGTCTCTCCTCCGATCCCTGTACTATTGACCGAAGGGAAGACCTGGCGTGACGTGCGTTTTTGCTGAGTGCAGGCTCCCCGTCAGTTGCCAAGCCGGATTGGTCGACTAATTCCTACAGAATATCTTGCAATCGCCTGTGACACTCTCTCGGCACAGTTCCCTCGCCGTGGGTACCTCACACCAGCCACCAGCCGGACCTCCAGAAATTTCCGCCCTTCCACCGTACAGCACGAGTGCTATGGCCTATGGCTCACTGTGCGCCCCGCGATATGGTCATCCGCTCCGAGGGTTACAATCGTCGGCACTTTCAGATCCTGACAGTTCGGACACTACCAGGCGACAGATTTCCAGTTCTGGAGTCGAGTAGCTAGCAGCTAAAGTAACGTTACGACTATCTGCAGTACCATTGCCTGCTTTTGTGCCGACGAAGCTTGGAGCTTCAAAGCATGCCGATGCTTTCAAGATGCAATTTGCTCCTGGACTCAAGTCTTCGAGGATTCAGACTCATACAATCCTACTTGCGGCGTGCACAGTAAGACGAGCTTCGCGCCAAAACTGAATTGTACGAATTGTGCGGATTGCGCGCGTGTGCAGCATCCTGTAGATCACACAACATTCGGCCCCAATCGCCGCAGGAAATTCGAGTTCGAGCTCAAGGCTGGGTACGGCACAGCACCTGCAAAGAGATGCCCTCTGCAAAAATCGGGCTGGACATCCAAAGCGCAAAGGACAAGCTGCAGGTCCTCAGGCCACATAGAACTTTGCTCCCAGAAGAAATTCCGGCAAAGGAGGTTCACCGTGAAAAGCTCGCCTGCGGAGGGGGGGATAAAGGTGTGTTCGCACCGAAGGACAAACCAAAAGGACTTTGCAGCTGCAGAGTGTGACACTCAGGATCGCGTGCAGTTCAGTGTGGGAATTCGTTCTCCGTCAGCTATTCGAAGGCCCTAACTAACTTACTTGAAGATCAGATTCTGCCGAGCCACGGAATGCAAAGTACCGGATCAATATCTCGAAAGAAGTCCTCAGCCGGCAAAGCACGGAGGGGCGGCATAAGATCCTTCCAGAATCACAGCTACTCCCGATCCAAGCTCCAGCCAGGCTTCAAATGTCAGGGAGTGTGCATGAAACAACCTCCATAAGCTCCCTACACCCTCGAAAGCCCCCTCCCCAAGCTGCAAGAACAAAGGGTTCGGACTGTTGAGGCATTTTGGGCTGTCCGGATGTGTCCACGAGCTAAGCGGCGTTAGTTCTCCAATTCCGTGCATCGACCAGATAGTCATGGCATTTCCGCGGGGGCGGGCGGACTCATTTGCACATTGCAAGCCGAGCCACGCGGCATGGCCCCAAAGAACCCTCAGTGTGACAGTGTAAAGTCCGCGCGAAGTTGCAAGTTCATGTTAATTTAGGATGAGTCTGGTGCAACTACACACCTACCTTCCAACTTGCCCAGGCTTCACCTGTTTTCCGACAAGAACTCTGAATCGTGGTTTCATTTTCAGTCAGAAGCCAAGGACTAACTAATTCCAGATCCTGTCTCAAAATCCGACCTTCTTGATCAAGCAGCTTTGTGAGGGCTTCTGCCTTGATGACCAAAAACTGTGCGGGCTCCATCCTTGCTGGAGGAAACGCGGATGGTCGGTTCACAGTTCCATGCTTTGCTCTTGACTTGAATGTCCGGTTTTCGCAGGGCTTAAGGCTTCAGGTCCAGGTACAGCCAAACCGAGATTCCCAGATTCTCAGATGCCTCGTAGCATGTGCAGGTCTTTGGTCGGATGATCGCTGAACACGTTGCTAAAACTGCCATACCAATGCCGTCCACTGCGTTTGAAAGCTTTTGCCTCTTCTCCCAGGCTTCTGCTGGCTGCTGGGGGCGGCCCGGCACGCATCAGACAACAATCCAAGTTAGCTAGAAACAGAGTGCTGGCACCGCACTGTGGGCCTCCGCACAAGCACGGGCAAGCGTGCTCCAAGCTGCCACAAGAGGCCACGAAGCTAGAAACATGTTGGTGCTGTTGGTGCTCGGAGCTTCAAGCATGGCCAACCAAGAATCAAAGTCGCATAGACCACAGAACTCGGTGACATCTTCATGACCTCAAGCTAGCATACTCGACATCAATTCTACAGTTGCATAGCAATCGAGCCTTACACATTCACTCACTGGCCGGAGGCTTGCGATAGCTTTCGCTTCAGGGCTTAAGGGCTTGTAATGGCCCAGACGGAGGGACTAATATGCTCTGCGTGGTGACAGGATCAACGGCCCAGGCCCAACCGATGACGACACATCCGAAGGAGTGCCCGTGCCAGTGGGCCGCACGATGGCCGTGCGCGGCCAGCATGTCCTCCGAAGTCTTTTTCAACGACGTTCGAACTTTACCCTTTGTAATTTTTGTAGTAAGTATTTGCAATCGTATCGCCGCAGCTTCTCCCAGCGGGCTTGTACGTCGTGTGAGTAAACGACAGCTGCTGCTCGTCAAAACAACGTCAAATCAAGACGATGCCGTCAAATATACTATGCACAGGTAACTGCATTCTTTCTCCGGAGGAGAGATTCTAAGTTATTTGCCCTGCATCGATCTAGGTATGCTAACCTATCCACAACTTCCCCGCAGCTGGCGTATGACCAGTAGAGGGCAAGTGAACCGGTCTATGTGCGGTTGAGCGTAAGTTGAGGTCGTGCATGTCTCCAAGCTCATGCTCTCCGATCAATATGGTCGGTCTTGATGGCATGCGTGGATCCTGCCACGATTTACAAATCTAAATGTTAATCTTTGTCTTATTATGTGTGCCGGGGGGGGGGGGGTTAACTGCTTGTTGAAGGCAGCAGTCGGCAATCCTATCAATGGAGGGGAGTGATCGACCAATAACGCTGAGTATGTTACACAGGCAAAAAATCATCCAAGATTTGCTGCACGGCCGCCTTGCAGTTACATACTTTGTCCCCAGACTCGGAGTTGTATGCGTCTCCGCTTCCCTGAACGGCTGGAGTCCCTGAGAATCCCAAACCCCGGAACATAATTAGTCGAATTGGCCTGGAGCTGTGCTACAACTTCACGCGCGGAGGGAACAGACTCCCAGGGAGCCATGGCCAGGAAAGGAAACCTCGCAAACTGCTCGGAAGGTCTCGTGTTTTTCTTGCCATTTACTACTGGCTTTGCTTCATCTGCGGCGACTTGGACGATTCCTCCTGGTTGGGGTGGAGGATGTAGCAACTGTCTTCTTGGCTCAATACCTGGAACCCCACAAGGACTCGACTTGGGCAGAAAGATTCCTCAAGCAAGGCTGTTGGGACTTGGGGCACTTCAAGCTTTAAAAAATGGGGAGACATGGGCTTGGTGTCTGCAGAGTTTCCTTCGAATATCGTCGAATATACCAGTAGCTTCATCCGCCATCCTGAAACTTGTAAAACATAGCCACATGCCGAGGAGCTCTGGCACGAAAAGCTCGCCGCCTGAGAGCGACATGGGCTTCGTAGGCTTGATGCCTGAAACGTTGGTGCAGGGTTCTTGGCTCTTACGTTGCCCACGTTGCTACTCAGCGTTGCGATTGCTATTCGGATTTCATGCGCAGTCATTCGGGGCTCTCGACTCGGATCGACCACCTCTGAGAGGCTAGAACAACTAGATTAACCCCTGTGCAGATGCGCCACTGTGCCGCTGGGACAAACGGTAGATGAACAGGAAATAGGGCACCTTTGCTCAACACACATGGGCCGAGGTCTTCGAGGGGTGTTCGAGGAAAACCACAAGGCAGCATGTAACGGTAATCTGAAAGCGGGAAACAGTGCACACACAAACACGTAACGACCCAAAAACTAGGGAGGCAGACCAAGGGCCTCTTTGAGTGCCGTGGCTCTGAAGCTTTGAGGGTATCTGATGCGACCAAGTAGGTCCATGTTAGACATGGTTTTTTCCCTAGACCTCCAAAATACACCCAACCATCAAAGCCATTGACCTGGGGCCCAAGGATACTTGCTGAGACTGCGGCCAGGCCCACTCCCAAACCATGCACGAAGACCAAAGGCTCGCCCCTGTTGTCATCAACGTTACCAGCTACCACCAGCATGCAGTACGCTCGCTCTCGCTCTCGCTCGCTCACTCACTCTGTCTCTCTCTCTCTCTCTCTCTCTCTCTCTCTCTCTCTCTCTCTCTCTCTTTCTAGGGCCTATAATATCAGGTCAAGGACCCCACCCCATTCGGGGCGCTCCTTGCGGGGTCTTAGATTTTAGAGGCCCTTGGGAAAACGTAAACGCGGAGAATTATTCTTCAGCATGAAACACTGCTATCATTCTCCAGCTTCGGGGTCACCTGAAAAGCGTGCCAAATTAAGTCTGTAGTGCGTCGACCCAGTCGAAGCGGAGTAGTGGTGTATGTAAAAGAGATTCGTGAGTTAGGGCAAGTTTGCATATGGCATATGTTTACTGGACACATATCGATGGCACAGGGGGGTATTTCACATGCGATGAGTCGGCGATGACATCCGTACCCGAGAGCTCGAGCTTGAACAAATCGTGCGCTAGTGCGCTGTCCTCTCCATTCCAACTTGCCTCATCTTAGGTGTTGGCCTCCTCCGTCCAGCGGCAATGAGGTTTGAAACCGCGTCATAGCCTGGAATTGATGTCCCACTGGAGTCGCTAAAGGCTGACTTGTGAGGCCAGGACACCGTACTCCCCAGCTGAGACGTACGTGGCTTAGGCTTATAGCCTTGCACAAGTACCGAAAGGGTGGCTCACAGCGCCTTCTGAACCCTGGTCTAGAAGTGCTGGGCGATCGGCTAAGAGGACAAAGTCCACCAGTGGCCGCATGAAAGGCAACTTGAGCCAAAATCGGTGTTTCGCTGTGTCTTGCTTGCTCGCTTGTTTGCAAGGGGGTGTAGGGCCATTGGGGACCTTGGCCCAGAGGATTGCGCCTCACGGCACGCTTTCTCTCTCTGTCTCTCTTTTTTTGTTTTATCTCTCTCTCTCTCGCACTCACTCACTGACTCTCTCTCGCTCTCTTCCTACCGTCCTCGGTCGGGTGCAGGGCCGAGCGAGTCGGACCCATGCCGAAGCACGCCCCCCTCCCCTGTCCGGGACACCTTTGAGGAAGCAAAAACAGCGAACCAACGGCCCCCTAAAGAATTAACCCGAGCAGTGCTTACAGGTGTCCCAGGAGCTGTTGTAGGACGGCACGGGGGATGTAGCACACCCGACAGTCCGGTAACGTTATCGGCATCAGGGCGCTGGGTCTTCCCAGTTGCTGTACAGGGAGCGACCCATCCAGGTTCAAGCATCCAATCCTCGTTGCCCGCTTTGACGTTGATCTGAAGATCAATCTCGTCACATTGAACGATCTTGGGAAGTATCACGTATCCAACACTTTGCTCATTGTTTTTCCTGCCCGCAGCGACTTTCTTCCTGTCTTTCTTCGCGGCTTTGGACTTCTCTCTTTTGTTCTTCTTGTAAGCTGCCGCCTCCTCTTTGACTCCCAATTTCCCCATTCCTCCGGAGTGCATAGGTGTTTAGGTCGTCGAGTAGGGATAATTCGCCGGCCATCACTTCCAAACCTTGTATAGGGAACTCCTCTTGTGTCAATCTTACACGCCGCGCAGTCATCGTTCAGGTAGATCTTGCCGTCACCAACGTGCCAGTGTTCAATGTCTTCAGGAGCGAGCTCATCTCCTTCAAGCGACTGATAATATCACTAGGCTCCTCATCATCGCCCTTTGGCACAAGGCTTCCGGTTGGACCGACTTCGTCAAGCGAACGACCGGTCTTCACCTCTAGCTGCCGCTGTGGTAGAAGATGATGGACGTTCACCAAGACCCCCTTTGCGTTCGCGTTCAAGGAGTATAACGCCAAACTTGTCTATATCCTCGTATAACCCTTTCATCATCAATGGGAAGATCTCCTCAAGATCGGGAGAATACTCATCTGCAATTTCTTCTCGTTCTCATGGTTCTGCTGGAGATTTCCCCCTTTGATGGTTGTCATCGTAATCATCTTCATCATCACTTCCACCTGGTGGTCGATCATCGTCATCCTGGTCCTTGAGTTCCAACCACCAAGTTCGACGTTGCCCTTCAGCCCCTCGATCGTTGCATTCATCCGCTCATACTCGGATTTTTGAGGAAAGACTGTTTCTTTGGGAAGTACCACAACTTCGGTCAAGTATGGTTGTGCGAGTCGTCGAGGAACTGCCGCATTCATGGGAAGGTTCACATGAGCAAACTCGGCCATATCCCAGACTTTGCACTTCCTTGGCCATTGTTGACCAATTGCATGATGTATCCTGCAAAATGCCAGGCATCCCTTTCGGATCAAACTTCCCTGCGTAGGTCTTTTCCCTCGCGTCTGTGGGCTTGAAGAACACTGTCCTTTGAAGTCTTCACCAGTCATCCTTTGCCACGCTGAATCACCATCTCCTTCCACATCCTCGATGTTGAGATTGTGAGTCACGCAGTTCAAGGCAAACGGCCAGCACTGCGCCGGTAATCCTGCATGTAATAGAGATGTTGCCATGGTGCTGATCACCTCCTGATTGGTCCTTTCTGCGAGTGAATTGTTGTTTGATTATCCGGGGAGTGAGTGATCGATTGGGATCTTGAGTTCGGCCATTGCGGCATCACATTCTGGGGCCAGAACGCTGTAGGCGAGCTTCACCGTTCTCCTCCCAATGAGTCTTTTCAAGGCATTGACAACCTGATCTGTATGACGTGAGTCAGCTGGAACAGCTGCAATGGCGGTGGCACATCTTTGACAACCAAGACCTCCCTTGCTTCGTCATCAAGACCAACTCCCATATCAGCGGCTTTGCGCATGTACAAGAAGTCGGCGGTGATAGAAGGTCCCCCATGACTTCGACTCTCTCTTGAATGCACCACGTTCAGTTCGGTAATGATTCAACTTGGCACGAATGCATGCTTTGCCATAAGGATTGCGATAACGATGAGTGCATAAACGCGCAATGGACTTGGCTTCAGCTTTAAGAGTGCCGACCTTCGCTTTGCGAACTGGCACTCCTTCACCTTCCACCTCTATCTCGCGTTCATCGCCAGCGTCTGGTACTTCTTCGCGTTCTCCTTCGGGTGGATCGGGAGGTTTTCCTGCTTCTTCCGAAGGAACCGCTTCTCCAGGTACTTCGCCCAGTTCAACGTCAGGAGACGGTTCCTCCAAGCGGTCAGCGCCTTCTTCTTCTTCTTCCTCCACAACTTCGCCGGCAATTGCCCTCACTGCATTCGCCATATGGGTCGCCTCAGAAGGTCTAGTTTGCATTTGGTTGAAGATGTCCTTGATTGCCTTCCCGTTCGAAGTTACGGAATGTCGCCGCTCACGAAAAGAGAAATTCGCTAACCGCCTGGGTCGATCATGGATGGATCACGACCAGGTGGCCACACAAATCCATATCTTTGCTTCATGCATCGCTTCCCACAGTGGACAATACTGATGGAGTATCCTCGAGAACGTACGCATTGATTGACTCCTTGAAGGATTCCGTCTGAAAGCTTGACACCATGTCCGTATCAGTGACTCCATTTGCTGTCTGAAATGACACTGTTTTCGGGCTGACAAGTATCTCGAGATCGTGCTTCTCGACCGTTCGGTGAGAAACGAGGTCATGTCCACAACCTGTGTACATAAGGAATTTGATCTTCGATCGTATCGATAAAGGTTGCACCACGCAGATGAAAGTTTCGCGTTTCAATCCCCTTTTTGCTGTCCTTTGAGCTGAGATTCCTCTCGAAGAACATGTCCTCACGGTCATAGAGGGAAACTTTCCCTGACTCCCAGGCACTCTCACGTGAATGTGTCGATGTCCTTGTTCGTCAGACTTGAGCATATCCAACAGCAATTGTGCCCTTGCTCTTGCCCTATGCCTCACAAAATCCAACCCCCTTGCCCGGTTCCCATCCTCGATGATGGCCGCCGTCGTGTCGACGACTGTGATTTCTTCTCATCTTTCCCTGTAAGATCTTCTGAGTCTAAAGGATTGAAAACGGACGTCGCTGGCGAAGGACGCACGTTTTCCCTTGGGGGGACTATAGCCGACAAAGTCGAGCTATCCGCCTCGTCATCGGTAGAGCGATCGGAATCCACATCACTGTCCAA